ATCACCCGGGCCTACGAAGGACCGTCGCCAAATGTAACGAAAATCACCCGGGCAAACAAAGGACCGTCACCAAATGTAACGAAAATCACCCGGGCCTACGAAGGACCGTCGCCAAATGTAACGAAAATCACCCGGGCCTACGAAGGACCGTCGCCAAATGTAACGAAAATCACCCGGGCCTACGAAGGACCGTCGCAAAATGTAACGAAAATCACCCGGGCCTACGAAGGACCGTCACCAAATGTAACGAAAAACTCCCGGGCCTACGAAGGACCGTCGCCAAATGTAACGAAAAACACCCGGGCCTACGAAGGACCGTCACCAAATGTAACGAAAAACTCCCGGGCCTACGAAGGACCGTCGCCAAATGTAACGAAAAACACCCGGGCCTACGAAGGACCGCTGGAAAAAGCAAAACGGTCCTTCGTAGGCCCGGTTTCCTTTGGCTGGACAAGATGCGCTGTGACGTCATCAGGGCCTGGTCGCCCGTGTGTGAAGCTCCCAGACACGGTCGCGCAGGCCATTCAAGCACCGCGTGTTGCCACAAATATATTTTCAAATATTTTTTCTATGCATTTCCAATGCGGTTTTCTTTTTTTCTTTTATCGTATATGATGCATATTTCTGACCTTTACAATATGTATCCAGTAGAATGTTCATAATTTTCCATGAAACTGTGATACATGTGTCAGTAATGTGTCCACAATAAATGTTTATTGTCACAATATTACGTGGTAAAAATTCACGAAAATTACAATATGTACAGTTTCACATACTATTTACACATACTATTTACACAGTAACTCACTGTATTACACACTCAGTACTTTGGAGGTGCGTAATAGTCAATGAAGTAGTCCATGGTACACAGCGCGACTTTTCTCTCCTTGCACCAGCTACAGATAGATTTTCGTTTCCTGTTTCATCGTTCTGTGTGCTTGCAAATAACGCACTCGCATGCACCCTTGGCTTTAGTACTTGTAGGTGGTATGTAGCCAAGCTTGTAAAGCATAAGGTAGTATTGAAACGATTATAGGAAAAGCTCAATTTGTAAGGTAGTCTTGAAAAAATCGCTTTGTAAGGTCCCACACAGGAAGAGATTCAGCTAGCCTCAAAGAGTGTCCATCAGTCAGGAAGAGATTCAGCTAGCCTCAAAGAGTGTCCATCAGTCAGGAAGAGATTCAGGTATTCTTGAAAATATCAATGAACACCACCACCATGGAAGCCGCTAACACTGTTCATCTATGCTACTTGTATCAGATGGGGCTCATCAGCTCAGAGCTGATGAGCTCCAACTCATCAGCTCAGAGCTACAACTGGATACGCTTGCTGTATCATCCTTATAGGTGCTGTATCACTGGCATCCGACCGTTGTGTTAAGCTCTTATTGCGCCTAGCTTCACCAATGTTATGACCCTTATGTTCTTCGAACAATAGGGTCTGAATTGCACCGACTGAGCGCAGTCTTTCAACACCGTGTGGGACAGGTGTTTGAGAGCCAGAGGCGCGTGTGCCGCAAATGGTTGCTCACGCAGTACTAACCCAGCCAGCAGCCCTAGTCTTTCATATTCGTTATAGCAAAAGTTCGTTCAGTGTTTGTTGGGTAGGCTGCTCCATTATGACAATCATTCTTTGTTTCAAATGTGTTCCATTTGTTTTGTATTTGTCACTTACGTCTCAATAATGGAGCAGCCTACCCGACAAACACTGAACGAACCTTTATGGCATTTGTCCATTTTTCAAATTGTTTCAACAGTTCTTTTTATTTTTCGTTTTTTTTATTTAAGAAACATGGAGGAGCCGACCTGTAGACCACCGAACGAACCTTTTTGACATTTGTACTGGTTTTCAAAATTCTTCATTTTTTTTATTATTTACGTTTTTTGTATGTAAGAAACATGGAGCAGCCTACCTGCCGACCACCGAACGAACCTTTTGCTACAAGACAAATGAAAAATAAATATTGAACACATTTGAAGAAAGGAAAATGTCATAATGGTTTATTCAGTGTATGTAAGGTAGGCTTCTCCATTATTGAGACGTAAATGACAAATACAAAACAAATGGAACACATTTGAAACAAAGAAAGATTGTTATAATGGAGCAGCCTACCTGCCGAACACCGAACGAACCTTTTTGACATTTGTTGTATATCAGACATTTCATTTCTTTTTTCCTACAAAAACGTCAATGCTTTGCAACATCTCAGCAGTCACCCTTTTATATCCCAGCATCATGAGCATCTTTAAACAAGAACAACATAATTTATGTGCATCATCTGAGGCGTCTAAGAATGTGCAAGAAGCAGCGCGACCCCACCATGTGGTGTTGACGTTACTCAAACCAGCGTTCATCATACAGGACGATTTGACGCCGATCGGGCCGTTCGTTACCCAAAATGTTCGTCTTTTGGGGCGATCGTTATGCGAGGTACCACTGTATTTATAAACATCATTTTGTTCCATATTTCTGGGGGGGAACTTTGAAAAATTGAATTATTGCACTAAACAATTTTTTATATAAAATTGCAAATAAAAATTCTTTATTATATGCTAATGTGATAGCTTAGTGTCACAGAAATGATTTTAGATGACACTTGTGTTTGTTCAGGCATTTTGAAGTGTTGAAAATTTGTTGAATAATAGGTTTTATATTTTTTTCTCCCTTCCTATTTATGCTACGATGCCGAGACTTGGACCAGTTGAAGCCCTTTTCATATACAACTAGCAAATAAAGTTGGATTGAAACTGAACAACTTTTATTTTTTGGTGTTTGGCCCCCTTAAGATAACCTCAAGAAGAGCAGACTGCTGGGTAAATACTGGTTCGGTAACAGTTTCGTTGATTTGTGGAACCAATTACCGCTTAACGTGGTGGAGGTGAGGTCCCTCGATTGTTTCAAGCGTGGGTTGGACATGTTTATGATTGGGATTGGGTGGTTATAGATAGGAGCTGCCTCGTATGGGCCAATAGGCCTTCTGCAGTTACCTTTGTTCTTATGTTCTTAGGGTCGCTGGATTGTTTCACGTATAGGATAGACGTATATGGGTGATATTGATTGAATATAGGTAGGAGGGAAGTAATTATCAAGGGAAAGCACCAAGCCATTATGACTATATAGCACTTGGAAGGGGTCAGGATAAGGATTTGGGATGGGATGGAGAAAAGGAATGGTGCCCAACCACTTGGACAGTCGGGGATTGAACGCCGACCTGCATGAAGCGAGACCATTGCTCTACCATCCAGCCCAAGTGGTTGGACACGAGTATAGGTAGGAGTTGCCTTGCATGAGCCAAAAGGCCTTCTGCAGTTTGACAAATTACTGTATGTTCTAATGTCACGTTCTACTCTTAGGGTACTACTTGTTTGAATGGTGTGCAAGCGTCTACCTTCCTGAATTGCCAGTGTTGGCTAGTAAAAGATGAAAGCACCTAAGACAATGGATGAGACATAGAAGAAGACAGTTTAATATCAAATTTAATTAATTTAGAATCAGTGTGTGTCAGCAATTACAGCTACCCAGGATAATTACCCGGGACAAGCCAAAGGTAACTGTAATATTGAATATATTGGCAATGTTGAGAATGAGCATTGCCAAGTTGTAAGAGTAGTGAAGGGTAGATTACTATTGGTTGAGCATATGTGGATGATAAGCACTAGTGAGCACTGCTTACCTGCTTGATAGCTGCTTAGTGGGGATCTGGGAGTTCATCCACTCCCCAAGCCCGGCCCGAGGCCAGGCTTGACCTGTGAGAGCTTGATCCACCAGACTGTTGCTTGGAGTGGCCCGCAGGCCCACATATCCACCTGCTTATCAATCATTCAATGCAAGTTTGTTATTAATACAATTAAAAGGATTCCTCCTTCCCACACATCATATTTTAAACACAGTGCACAGTTACAAACCCATTAAGATTTCAACTTAGATTCAACAGAGTACTTGTTGTTAAACACACATGGCAAAATCTTACTGAAGCAACCATATGAGTCATAAATACTCATACTCTGCCCAAGTAAAACAGAAACAAGCAACACTTAGTGGGCCAGCCAGAGGCTTAGGGCCCACACAGGAATATCCCTGCAAACAAAAAAAAATCATATTTAGTGTTTGTACTATACTGTATGTACAAACTATAGTAGTCATGTAGTAATTGACATACAGTATTTGAAATGGAGTGAATACTTGTGCAATGAATGTGTTTAGTGTTAAATGGGAAGTTACTAGAACTTGATAGTTGTGGTGGACTATTGGAGATGGGTTTGTACAGATGGTTCTAATACATGGTATAGGTCCTTGGCTTTTGCTAGTATTATAGTAAATGTTGTAGTTAAAGCATTGTTGTAAGAACTGTACTTCTTAAATACTGTTCTTGGCCTCTCATTGTGATGGCCTCTTTCTGTAAATCATAGCTCTTTAAAATAGTAGCTGAATAAAGTTAAAAAGTAATTTGAAAGTCTTTGCTAATATAATTATGGTACAGTACTTAATTAGATGTTTTAATTACATTTGTACTGGGTATGTTCCTTATATAGATAATAACTTTTCTAACAGTGCTGTATATTGAATTTGTGATGAAAATTTGTCTTTGGTTATTGCTCGTGTCAAATTGAGTGAATCTTATAAGTGATAAGTAAGAGGAGAGTGGCATCTCACTATCTTGGATAGTATATGTAGATTTAGACTTCACTTGAAGTCAGCAAGTCCTCACCCAAATTTCTTATATTGTTCCTTAAAGCCTATATATTGCACTAATTTAAGTAGTTTCAAGTCATGTGAAATAAACAGTAATGTAAGTCACAGAGTTCAATCCATTTGAGCATTAATCAGAGATATTTAAAGGGCTGCATTCATAATGGCTTATTAATGGCATGAATATTTGACCTGGTCACTGCAAACCTTATTATGCTTGTGTCCTCAGCTTCACAGTTTGTTAATGATTCAGGAGCCAGTGAACCAGCAATAAACTGACTAACCTCATCACCTCCACTCACTCTTAACAGACACCCAAGGGCCTAGGGGACAGTTCAAACTCCAATGGCAGCTCAAAGCTAAGGATTTTTCGTAGGCCCTTCGGTTCCAAGAATTACAATGTTCTTTCTGCTTCGTTAAGGTTTGTTTTTGTGACTGTTTATGGCAAAGGTGTAAAAACTTCGCTTGAGCTTCATATTGGCTGCCTTGTAATGATTATCTGCATTTATCTGTGTTTTGATAGTTTAAAGATAGCTTTTAATTGTAGATTCTGCTTGCATTAAAAAGCTTTTAATTGTAGATCCTGCTTGCATTTTTCTTATACTGGATAACCTGTACATCTTCACTCTTTCTAGGCAATATTGTATTATCAGTGGTTTCAGTTTTTGAGGTTTACAGGTTTAATGTGATCCACAGTTTGGCAGTGTCTGGCTTTCAGTGTTAAAGTGTAGATATAAGAGTGTGGATTGGGAGTTAATGAGGTTAAGCTTAGAGGAACCTTCCCATTTCCCAGTCCTCCCCGGTCGGCCGAGCGGACAGCACGCTGGACTTGTGATCCTGTGGTCCTGGGTTCGATCCCAGGTGCCGGCGAGAAACATTGGGCAGAGTTTCTTTCACCCTATGCCCCTGTTACCTAGCAGTAAAATAGGTACCTGGGTGTTAGTCAGCTGTCACGGGCTGCTTCCTGGGGGTGGAGGCCTGGTCGAGGACCGGGCCGCGGGGACACTAAAAAAAAAAAGCCCCGAAATCATCTCAAGATAACCTCCCCCACCATTCCCCTGTCCCCTCGTCCTCCCAACCATTCCTCACTCCCCTGTCCCCTCGTCCTCCCAACCATTCCTCACTCCCCTGTCCCCTCGTCCTCCCAACCATTCCTCACTCCCCTGTCCCCTCGTCCTCCCAACCATTCCTCACTCCCCTGTCCCCTCGTCCTCCCAACCATTCCTCACTCCCCTGTCCCCTCGTCCTCCCAACCATTCCTCACTCCCCTGTCCCCTCGTCCTCCCAACCATTCCTCACTCCCCTGTCCCCTCGTCCTCCCAACCATTCCTCACTCCCCTGTCCCCTCGTCCTCCCAACCATTCCTCACTCCCCTGTCCCCTCGTCCTCCCAACCATTCCTCACTCCCCTGTCCCCTCGTCCTCCTCACCATCCCCCACTCCATTGTCCGATGCATTCCCAAATGATCTGATGTTCCCATCAAAAAATTGGGAACATCAAATGATCTGATGTTCCCATCAATGAAATATAAGAAAAAGTTAAAAAAAAAAATGAAATTAAAACAGTGAAAAAATAAAAAATAAACTACTCACGAAATGAATGGTATGGTAAAAACACGGCTCAGTTCCAATGCAGTGTCACACAAAATTATTAAATCAAAATGAAAAATAAATCAAAATCTATGAAAATTCAATTTGTCAAGGCAATCAGAAACATCGAAATGGAATCGTAACATATTTAGTATAGCGTGTGTTGCTCTTACGTGCAACAGATGGCGCTGTTTCTCAAAAAAAAAAAAATGTTTTTACCTGTCACAGGTGTGGCATCTATTCTTACACTTACGAAATGAATGGTATGGTAAACAACACAACTCAATTCCAACACACTGCCACACAAAATAATTAAATCAAAATCTATGAAAATTCAATTTATCAATGCAATCAGAAGCATTGAAATGGAATCATAACATATTTACCTGGGACGTCAACCCGAGCCACATCGAGCCAGGACCACATCGATGCGAAGAGGTCCACCTCTAGGTGCTCGTACGTCTGGCAGAGCCAACTGAACGAGTCTGTGTCGACCGTCCATTCCATGGTTAGGGGAATGAACCAAGACAGGCCATCCGCCAGGATATCTGACACCCCCTGAACGTGAACTGCCAGGAGAGCCAATCCCCCAAGAACTCGGCAAACGAGTCACCTGAAGCGACCAGCCTAAAAGAGCCAAGGACCGCATCGAACCCCCGCAGTTCAGACAATGAATCACCTGGGGAGCAGTCCGAATGGAGCCGGATCGTTGCTCCACGAGCAACACGAATTCTTTGAAGCGAATGCCACACCACCGCGTACTTCTGCGGCGTGCTGTGAACCCGATGGAAGGAGGGACCCCACTGACTCTGGCCGGCCTGATGAGCACTGGTCACAAAACCCCAGCTGAGAGACGAGACATCCATGAACACATCGAGGGAGGGCTCGGGGAGGCGTCAGGGCATAGAAACCCGAAAAAACCCTCAGAGGAAGCCAGCGACGCAGCAGCTGACACAAGACTCCTAGGATCCAAACACAGCGATCACAAGAGTGGCAGACTCTTGTGCCACTCTTCAACACCCCCGAAGAAACCAGAACAACCGCCGAAGCCAGATCTGACCCGACGGGTAGACCAGCACGGCGAAGATCAGGCTCCCACACCGCTGCCCAAACCACTGATGTGTGACCTGGGTGCCCTTCAAAAACAGTCGTAAGCGGGACTGCAGCTGCCAGAGGGAGAGACAAGGAAGCAGTCAGAGTCCCACACAAGACCCTGCCCAGTCCGAACCTGAGAGGGAACCAAATGGGACTTTTTCCAGTACACCAAGAACCCAAACCCGGCGAGCTGGTAAGGAACCAAATTCCTGGCGAGCAGACATGCAGATTGGCTGGGAGCCCACACCAGCCAGTCGTCAAGGTAAGCCAGAACCCGAACCCCTAACAGACGCAAACGGGTCACCACAACCCAGTTAAGGCTTGTGGACACGCGAGGTGCAAAATCCAAACTGGAAAAAAGGCAACAAAAACTGTAAGTCTGTCGCCCCACGACAAAACCAAGGCAGTCCCTGAACACCAGATGAATTGGGATGTGCTAATACGCGTCCCAGAGGTCCAGAGACACCATCCAGGCACCCAGTGCCAAAAGCAGCTGGATCCAAGACAGAGTGGTCATCAGAAAGGAGGGGCAAAGACCCAGGGGATCAGACGGGACAAGTCCAGTATGAATCGCAGATCTGCCCAGTCCCGTTTTGGAACTGAAAACAGGCAGGAAACCCAATACAGGATGACCTGACAGAACGCAGGGGAAGAGGCCCACTCTGCAAGCCCCGATCTTCCCAAAGGAGAAGGAAAGACCCAACGCCACCGCAGGCAGGAGGAAAAATTACCCGAATTGCCCACGAATCGTGGGACCAGGCGAGAATATACAACGCGAGCCTCCCCCCTATCGCCTCGTCAACGAGGCGAACCGTGAAAGGGCTGATGACCCCTACAACAGCCCGACTGATGCTCAATCACTGCTCCAATGACTTCGCAGGAAGGGCCAGTTCCGAATCTGGCACTATTGGCTTACAGCGACCGAAGGAACCCCGAGACCTGGCGCGACCTCCACGCCTCCCCCCCCCCCCCCCTGAACCTACAAGTCCAACTTAGGCCGTCAACAAGACAAAGCCGTCTGCAAAAAATGTACCACCGCACACTCTGCAAACAGCAAAGGACAAAAAAGGGATGAAAATCTAAGAGCCAGAGCCCAAGACGATTCCAAAGAATGGACGAGAACCGCCTGTCAGCACGCGAGGCGAGAAGTTAAGAACAGGCACCGCCTCCCTCAGAAACGGCGCATACAACTTCCATGAAGTTGTATGCAACACTTCACTTACACATCAACTTCAGTGAAGTGAATGCCACTTCTTTTTCTAAATTTCTCAAACCATCCCCTGCTTGCTTTAAAATCTTTCGTATCTGCATCACTCTTTCCTAGGGTTTTCTTTGAAAGGTCATCATGCAATTATCTTGCTGTCTCACAAATGATAGCCTCTGAAACGCTATCACCTCCTAGCTCCTTGTCGTGTATCCAAATTAACAACTACTTTTCAACATCCTTAAGTGTTTGTGTTCTTTGTTTCATGATTGTTGATATGTTTTTTGCCACTTTAGCACTCATAATGTCCTTTTTCTTGGCAATTACAGTGCATATCGTTGACATAGATTTATTGTTCTGCCTAGCTAGTTCAACAACCGTGTACCATTTTCATGTTTACGAATGATCTCTTGAGTTTCCTCTATGGTCATCCTCACATGTGTTTTCTTGGATTGAACCTTACCTCTGGCTTTTGTGGGATCCATGGCGAGATATATAATAATAACTTTTATGTTCAAAACCCCAAAATCCGAATAATACTGAAATTCTTTACAAAGAATTCAAGTGCGATTGTCACCAAGTGGGAGGCATTAGTAAACTGAGGCGCTGTCGCCATGCCACTACGTGCTAGGTCACCCATATGCGTATCAACAAACTTCGTTTCCAGAGGCAAAGTTCGTAACCTGAGTTGGATTTTATGAAGAAATTGGGCTCATAACCCGAAAAGTTCGTAAACCAAGGTGTCACTAGTCGTATTCTGAGGGATAATTGGTGCAAATACAAGACATGCCATTTGTTATTGGAAAATGATTGTGGTATTAAATAATTGTAATTTCTGTTGCTTTTTAGAGCTGAAATTTGGATTTTGTAGGTTTGGAACATAACACTATTTCTCCTATATTCGGTACTGTATTTTTAATAATTATTTTCATGGTTTTCACATTACGAGGTGTTTTCCATAATGTATGCCATGCATATTAAAGGTATAATAAGGTACAGTGTAGCTAACATTTAATGGGATTTTATGTATAATCTGATTTTTTCTCTGGGGGAAGCCGTCGGTTTTCCGGAGCTATCCAGGCTGATTTGGATATATTTGCTTTCTGGCATCAGTCAATGTGCATGGAGTTCTTGCCTGCTGGGGACCATGAGCCAGAACCTAGCCCCCTCAGAGAGGCAGGGGCTATGGCGTATAGAAACCCCTATGTGGTTGGAAGCATTCTATGTCTGCCATCAACCGGGTCTGGCACCTAGAAAGGTAGGCGCCCCAAAACAAACCCCAATTATGGTGAAAACATTGCTACTGAAAGCCGAACGAGTGGACAGAACTCCCCCAAATGAAATCTAGCATTACGTCATCACTTTGCCGCACCGCTGTCTGCACACACACATCCCCCCCCCCCCCTTCCTCCCTGCGAAGGGAAAGGGGAAACCCCAGACCCTCGTGCCAGCAACCCACACCGCCAGTTCTTGGCTGATGTGTTGCTGGCAAGATCGTATGTCTCTGGCTCCAGATTTTGTCTCAGTGCCTTG